CTCAGGGTGCGCAACCTTGATGTGCTTGTTAATGTCCCACTTCCAGTTGGAGCGGTGACCACAGCCAGAGCACTGGTAGCGTTTCCACTGTTCCTCCCGGACACTGGAGGAGGAGGAGGAGCAGGGCATACTGCTGGGAATTGATGGAGACCCCTTTAGGAGGGATCTGCGTTTAGCCGGCTGACCCTCGGACTGTTCCGGCCAGCAGAACAGCGTACCGGAGACATTGAACTTGGAGAGGGACTGAGAAGTGGCTGGGGCCAGCACGGGTGGCAGGGCAGGCGAGGAGACCTGACTGGGTGTACTGACTTCGCTGCTGCCTGCAACGCCTCCAGCAGCTGTCAGTGATCCCATGAGTTGATTTAGCAGAAACTGTTGTTCAAATTGAGCCATAAATTCCTTTATTGCCGTCTGCTGAGAAGCAAACAAGGGAGGCGGGAGCAGTCCCCCCGCAGCAGGTTCCATATCTGGATCACGTTTGGGGCAGGCAAGGTTCAGAGGCTGTGTCTGGGGATCTTCTGACTTTGGCAGCAGTTCCTGAGCACTGCTGACGGCAGTTTCGTTGGTTAAGGCGGACTGCAGATGGAACAGAAAGAAAAGCGCGGTATTATTTGTCTGCTAATTGGTCCTGGCCACCATTTATCATGCAACCCATGTTGTTTACCACCTATACTGGCATGCGAATTCGTGCAAATGGTTGGACGAGCAGAACAACAGACTCAGAGGTGCCAAAGAAATAAGACAACAGGCAGTTTTACCTCGTCTCAGATGACCTCCTGTAAGAAAGAATATGGTATTCAAATCTTTTTTTCACATCTAGCAGTTGAAATATTAGAAGGCAAGATTGCGTGTTGTTTGACTAACATAGTGAAGTTTGAAGGTATTACGTTTGATTTAGGACTAGATAAGCGAAGAGTTCAGACTCAACTCCTACAGTAAGCCACTCCAATTTTCCATGGCCATATTATATAAAATTATATTTAACTTCTACTAGCTAATTATCAGTAGACATCTTTTGTTTTTATCGTTTGCATCTCAGTCGCTATGTGGTACCGCGATGCACCCTAGTCCTCTTTTTTTCTTGCCGTCTTCTTTTCACTTCATCGGCAGATGCGCTTCGTTACACAGGCGCAAAGTGCGCATTTACGCTTAGACCGAAAAGGAGGCCTTAAATGCACGCACGCACACACGCACACACGCACGCACTTGTTCTGAAATTCCAGCTCGTAAATCAGAACACGATGAGATGGTGACAACACCTCAACCACCCCACCCCACTCCCGCCCCTCCCCCTCACAGA